TAACCAATTCACTAATAACCATCACTCTTGTTGCCGAAATGCTTGTCTCAGTAATAAAGTCAGATTGGATGCGCTTATTGGTTTAGCTTAGAAAGTTGAAGCAAAATAGATGCTGTAAAACAGAACTCAGCTCGCTTTGGGGTCACTTTCTTGTTAAGATTACTGCCTTACTAAAGGTTTGAAACAAAGCAAAGGAAAAGCTGGTGTGCTGAAAGCTGGTCTTTTCTTTTTCCAGCATATAAACCAGTCTGCAAATAGAAGATACTACTTCTTCTACAATCCTTGCTTATGAAAAAGTGTAACAGCTTATTTTTGAAGATAAAATTACAGTATATACCTCTCTATTCTGAAATACAAAGCTGGCAGGTGTTATTTGATGAACCAAAAGGGAATAAAAATCTTTTTAGTTTCCTTACAGATTTCTAGTCCAAATATTTTAAGTCTTTCTTCTGCTTTTGCTGGATATTGGGAAAGATCCTGTGACAAAACCAAAAATGCTGGGGGCATTTTATAGCCACATCTATTACAGGATTTCTCTGCAAACTGTTAGCAGAAAGAGATGTACATAGAAAGAGAGGATGCAAAAGCAGTATGAATGAGATAATGGAGGAGCACGGTCCTTAGCACCACCACGACCAAAGGGTGAAGGCAAGCCCTGCTTCCCTTCTAAAGGAGGGGGGGGAATAGAAAGAAAAGACAAAAAAAAAAAAAAAGAAAAGAAATACAAGGGAGAGTTTGCCGGTTTCAGGAAATGGTTTAAGAAAGGTCTAATCTCTACCTCCTTATAGAGGGTGGAATATTGCTCTCTTCCTTGGAGCTACCGACTACAGTAATAAACAGGGCATCACCTTCATGGTTTTCATCAGCCAAACAAAAAGAAAAGAAATAAAATATATATATATATATTTTTTTTAACTTTATGTGGACTTCTATGTGGAGCCTATCATGTACAAGGACTGAGAAAGGTTATTGGAGGCTCCTCAGAAATAATAACTACTCTGTGTACAAACTAAGTCTTCATGGCTTATTGTTGATCTAAGATTGTAAGACATGATCATCTTTAATTCAACTTTTAAAATGCGGTTTCAGGATCTATAAAACTTTTAATATGTTACTAAAGGGTGGTTCATTTGGAAAAATAAAAACTCCTGAAAACCAGCTAGTATTTACAGTTAACTAAACATCTAAAAATAAATGCCGAATAACTCTTTCAGTTACACTTCATAGCATGTTAGCTATTTAAATAAAAGCAGGATTCATTTTTCTAAGAAAATGTTTGACGAGCAGTCTTCAGCTTTTACTTGGTAAAACCGAAGGCAGTTCATCCCCTTTGCCACAAGATGGCACGAAACATATAAATGATGAGGACGACAACAAAAATGAATAGCATACTATGAGAGGTATTGAAAAGGAAAGCTGCCGAGACCAAGCCTATGTGTGACTTTTTGGCAGGATGTGGGAAATGCATGAATATACAATTCTGCAGAACTGTCTATCTAAAGTTTAGTATTTACCACAAAGACTTAAACAAATCCCGTCAGCCAATTTAGTGCTCCAGATTTAATTTACATATAAACACAGATAATGGTGTGATGATCTAGAAGGTGACTGGAAGCAACCAGAAAGAAGAGCAGCAAAGAGATGGTGGGTGGCACGTCTGGTGGGAAAATAATCTAGAACAAGGGAAATGGCTTTAACCTGACAGAGGGGAGACTGAGATGAGATCTTAGGCAGAAGTTCTTCCCTGTGAGGTTGGTAAGGCCCTGGCACAGGTTGCCCAGAGAAGGCATGGCTCCCCCATCCCTGGGAGTGTCCAAGGCCAGGCTGGACAGGGCTTGGAGCAACCTGGTCTCGTGGAAGCTGTCCTGCTCGTGGCAGAGGGTTGGAACTGAATGAGATTTAAGGTCCCTTCCAACCCAAAGCAGCCTGTGATTCTATGAACCTGGCCATAAGGAGGTGGTGGGCTGGCAGGGAAAAGGGCTGAACAGCAGGCACCCAGCCAGTCTGAACTGCTCTCAGCTAAACACAGGGGGGTGAGATGGGTGAGAGGGTAAGAGCCTGGTAGGAGAGGAACCACAAGTGGGCAAAAGATGTATTTAAAAGGAGGGGGCTTTTGTATTAGACAAGAGACCAATATAACAATTTGTGTGCTGTTCTGGTGAACTTGAAATTATGTTCTGAACTCAACAGATCTAAACCTGTCTGCTAGAGAGGAGCTTCTTACCTTGCCTGAGTCTCAGACTTTAAGTTGCCGTACAAAACCCTGCCAGATTCGTAACAAAATCCTGTGACTCAGGACTTTATAGCTGTGCCCATGATAACCAACAGGATGCAAGACAGGAAGTGCTATTCCCAGTCCATTCTCTTTTTCCAAAGGACACAAAGCTGAAGTGCTGCAGGAAGGACACTCATGTTTCATGGAAGAGATAACAGAGATTAATTAAAAAAAAAAGAAAAAGAAAAAAACAGAGGAAAGTTTTCTGCCAGAGGCACTAGGAAAAAGAGGGTAATTATTTCATACAAGAGCAGAGCTCAGCTCAGCTGCTTCGGTGCATAGCAGAGAGTGAACATGAAATTGCCTTTGCTTTGTTTGCTTGGGGTTTTTTCCCACTAAGATTTGTAAATGGGATTTGAAATTAGTCTTGAAAACTGGGTCAACTTTCATGTAAATAATTACATCTGATTACTCAGGATATTTTGTAATTAGCTTAGAAAAACAGCATAGCAATATATGCAAATCAGAGAGTTTCACAGATTGTGGGATTTTGTATTGCATGGGTATCCAAATGTCCCACTGATTTCAGCAGACTCATTTTTATGTTTTTGGATAAACATTCAAGAAGGCTCAACCCTGCCTGCAGCCTTCAGAAGTTGTTCCAAGATGCAGCTATCTCCCTGTTGCACCATCTCATAATTGCAGTAGTTCTCAAGATGTCCAGTAGGAGCCAGCCTACCATCCACTGCATTTTCCTCCGAACAGCAATTCAGGAACAGGAAAGAGCCGTCTGCTGCTCAGCCTGCTGCATGGTTAGGACTTGCAAGTGTCTGCAAACCAGCAAAACCTAAAGTCCTAGAAGATAACCCACAAGCTTGCAGATGGTGTGATGTTCAGCAACCTGCTTGCATGGAACACTTGGTGCACATCCTTCATCCCAACAGCAGTGGTAGCCTCAAGTTGTTCATCCCAACAGTTTGTGGTAGCCTCAAGTTGTCTGTACAGAAATTGACTCTGCAAAAAAGACAGGAATTCTAGTGACAGAGGAGGCAAGGTAGGGCTACAACATCTGCAGATGATACACAGGGGAAGGTCTACAGCAGCTTATTTTTCTCCTATGCGGCAACACAAGCAGTACACAAAGCACATCACATGTATCAGAAAGTAAATGAACACACACTGTATCCTGATTATGTGTGAATTATAGAATAGCTTGGGTTGAAAGGGATCTTCAAAAGGTCATCTAGTCCAACCCCCCTGCAATGAGCAGGGACATCTTCAACTAGACCAGTTTGCCCAGAACCACATGCAGCCTGGCCTTGAATATCTTCATGGATGGTGCATCCACAACATCTTTGGTAAAGGTCACCTTCCTTGAAGAGTCAGAGAATGGTTTAGGTTGGAAGAGAACTTAAAGCTCATCCAGTTCCAACCCCTTGCCACAGGCAGGGGCACATTCCAGTACACCAGGTTGCTCCAAGCCCTGTTCAACCTGGCTTTGAACACTGCCAGGGATGGGGCATCCACAGCCTCTGGGCAACCTGTGCCAGTGATGAACAAGCAATTAAACATATGCATGAGACCAACTGCATCTAAAGATGTGACAGCAACAGCAAAAGCATTAGCAGGCGACGAACTGAAACGCCTCTGCTTCTCTGAAATTATCTTTTTTTTGTGGTTTGATTCGATTATCTTAAGGGTCTTTTCCAACAAATTCTATGATCTAAGTATGAACTCGTACCACAAGATGGAGCAAAAACATAAAAAGTCCTACCAGACTCCCAGGCCAGTCTTCGGTTGCGGAAAAGCATGAGAACCTCCACCAGGTGTCAGGTCAAGTGAAACACGACTAAAAACCTGTAAATAGGGGAATACACTTTTGGAGTCAGTTACTTAGCAGTGCAAACTCTCAAAGCAACGCAGCTAGAGAGGGGGGATGGTTACTCACCACTACCCCATCTCATGAAAACTTGGTGTCAGTGGGGAGGGCTGGGAAAATTACCAATGCATTAAGTAACTGAACTGAGTATGTTAACCCCAAAAATGGCACCTCGGGGGCAGGTAGGAAAAATAAGCTGGTGAAGGGCCTGAAGCACAAAGCTGAGGAACGGCTGAGGGAATTCTCAGAGTTTAGTGTGGAGAAGAAAAGGCTCAGGGGAGATCTCATCACTCTCTAGAACTACCTGAGAGGAGGATGGAGCCAGGAGGTGGCCGGTCTCTTCTACCAAGGAACGAGTGACAGGACGGGAGGAAACGGCCTCAAACTGCACCACGGGAGGTTTAGGTTGGATACTAAGCACAATTTCCTCACAGAGAGGGTGATCAGTCATTGAAACAGGCTATGGAGGGCACCGGTGGTCACCCTCCCTGAAGTGTTCACAAACTGCAGGTGGAGCCCCTCAGGACGTGGTTTAGTCGCGGACTTGGCAGTGCTGGGATAGTATTTGGTCTCTATGATCTTAAAGGCCTTTTCCAACCCAGCTGGTTCTATGAAACAGCAGTGGAAAAGACTTCCACACGCACACCCAGAACCGCCATGGAGGGAACTTAGAAGCGTGGCAGCCAGCAGCCTCACCCCCTCAGGCTCCGTTAGGGTCTGCCAGCCTGGGTACTCCCCCATCTCTCGGTTTATCTTCGCTCCACCCCACCGCGGCTGCTGGGCTGTCCCCGCCTCAAGAGGGAGGCAGCTGGCGGTGCGGCGCATGCGCGGCAGGGCTTGTTTGTCAGAGGGCTTATAAGGCGGGTGCGGCGGCCGTGGCAGTGCCTTTGTGGGGAGCGGGCAGCGGCGGAAGAGGTGCGACCCGCGCTGGGCCGGGCCGCGCTCCGCGGCTTCCCAATGCGCGGGCAGTAGAGCACGGGCCGCCCTTCGCCTTAGGCGGTCGCACTCGCTTCTTTTTCTCCCTTTTTTACAGTCTATTTTTGTACGCTTTGCTATTAAAAAACATGGTGCTGGGAAAGGTGAAGAGTTTGACAATAAGCTTTGACTGTCTGAATGACAGCAATGTCCCCGTGTACTCCAGTGGGGATACAGTCTCAGGAAGGGTCAGTTTAGAAGTGACCGGGGAAATCCGAGTGAAATCGCTCAAAATCCATGCAAGGGGACACGCGAAGGTTCGCTGGACCGAATCGCGGAATGCTGGATCCAACACTGCCTACACCCAGAACTACACGGAGGAAGTGGAGTATTTTAACCATAAGGACGTCCTGGTCGGCCACGAGAGAGGTGAGCGCTGTCCTGCATAAGCAGGGGAGGGTCTGTAAACTGGCATATTATTTGTTATGTATGTATGCTTACTGTATATATTTTTATATCGCCTGTGTTTGTCCTTCTCATGTTAATGAGCCAGCAGCCTTACCGGGGTAGTTAATGAATGTTGGAGCTGCCTCTACAAAGTGCCTGCAACCCAGACTTTGTGGAGCTACCTGCCCTTAAACGGAGGCAGTTGGTATCGCCTTATATTTATTACCTTTTAAAACACTCTAATTTATTTTTTTTAGCCTAGTGAGACTTATCAGCATGCCCCTCCGTGGGGAAAGCAGCTCTTAAACAACCCCAGACAGGCAATAACCGACTTTGTGGGCAGCCTTGAAGAACAAAAGCATAAAAGCAGTTTCTGACACATCGGGGTTCTGATTTTCGGGCCGATAATGTGATTATTATTATTTATAGTTGACTGCTTATTTGCAGATAAATTCCCCGTGGCATATTTTGATACACGTGTAATGGGGAGGGCGGGGGGGGGGGATTATTCCTTTTCATGATTATTCCTTTTCAGTAAATCGCTTTACTTTCCCTTTTCTGTATATTTCCCCTCGGGGGATAGGGTACGGGGGGAGGGAGTGGGAGACACCCCGATGTACAGATGTGCTCTGATGAGGGAGCAAAGGGTGGGGTGGGGGTTTGCATTACAGAGCATCCCTTACAAAACCGGCAACTGGGTTCCCCCGCGGGGTTCCCCGGCCGAGGGGTGCCCCCCAGCCCGCGGGGCTCGGGGCCGGGGCCCGGTGGTTGTTTTTTTCGCGAAGTTCGCAGCCTTTGTTCGAAGCGGTTCAATCCTGTTTGGGACTGGAGGAAGGGGGGGCGGGGGGGGGGGTGTCCGCCCGCTCCGCGCAGATTGGCCGCACGCGTCAGGTGGTGGCGATGACTTAATTCCCCAGCACAGGAAAATAGTGTTAAAAGCCGGTTATGTAATTGTAGTGCCGCTCCTGCCGCCTTCTTGCTCCTTAAATATTGTAGCGGTGGGATATTTCCCTTCCCTTGGGGGGGGGAGGGGGGTGGGGGAAGAAATGCGATTTTTTTTTAAAGATAACTCCGGCTGCACCTAGCCCATTTTTAACCATTTCGGAAACCAGAGGTGTTCTAACGTCTTTTCACTATTTTCACCTCACGAACGAAGTCACTTGTGCTTAATCCCCTCCTCCGCCTCAGGACTGCTGGCGCGAGCGAAACTTTACTCACCTCCGGGTCGCGGGTGACAAGACCGTGCGGGTACGCACGAGCCTCCCGCGGCCGGGGGGACCAAACCCGCGAGTTGGGAGGGGTGTGTTTGCGGGACGGCATGCCCTAGAGTGGGAATGTTTTTGAGGGGTCGAGGGGGGGGTATGGGACGGGGCGAAAGGGCCCCGCGCCCGCCTCGGACTTTCAATGACTGCTTCTGGGCGCCGCACCCCTGAGCTGGAGGCACAGGCCCCGCCCCCCGCCTGTGCTCTGATTGGCCAGCCGCGGTTTGTTGGCCTGTTGCTAGGGCGATGCTAGCCTCTGATTGGCGGGGCAAGGGAGCAGGTTCCCCTGCCCACAGCGGGGCGGGGCGGGGCGCGGCGGGCAGGGGGCGCTCCCCTGAGGGAAGCCCCTTTCTGCGGGCAACGCGGCCGGTCACGTCGCTTCGCTTGTACCCTGTAGTCCCGGGAAGGGGGGGGGGGGGAGTCTTGGCAGAAGGGGCGAGCAGCGTTCTGCCTTCCCTCCCTCTCTGTGCCGGCGGGGGACGGAGCTAGCTGAGCGAATATGGTGCGTGTAACGTATACCGTATGTATATGAGTGGCTGGCTGGGATCCGCTCCCGCCGGTTTAGGCCGGTCGGCTCCTGCTCCAGCCTGGCCCCTGATTGACAGCTCAGCACTTGTTTACCACAGCGCGGCCGCCCGGCGCGGCGGGACTGCTGAGCTGGCGGGGGGGGTGCGGGGGGGGCAGGACGGGTCTGCGCTGAGGGGAGGAGAGCTGAGCGCCGCGGTGGAACCACCCCAAAACCAACCCGGAGCACCCCAAAAAAAAAACACTACACACCCCCACGCCAACACACAACTGCCTTATCCTTTTCCTGACATTCGTTCCGTGGCGCTGCGCGCTGAAGGTTCGTTTGTGCCCGCAGCCTGCTGGTGCTGGCTTTTCTTAATTTTGGGTTATTTCTCTTTAAAGGTCTCTCCGCTTTTGCGGTGCGCTGAAGGAGGGGGAGCATTGGCGTTCTCTGTAGGACAGTGGGAACTTAAAAATTATCCTGTGTATGTCTCCATTAACGCTTCAGACCATTAAATATAAGTAGTTGCCTTTTGTGCTGTCTCGCTGCATCCACCTTGTATTATTCCATCCCTTTTTATGTGGGGTCGCTCGGTTATTTTTCTCTCAACTTTCACTTTGATGGAGTCAGCGTTTTTCTAGCTTTGTGGTAATCACATAGAATAAACTGCAAATACGTAGCCATGCTCAAAGGCATACAAGAAATTGTGGCTATAAGTGAAGGTCAGCTTTCTTGAAGGACCCAGAAAATACCTGGATATTGCTGTCCAAGCAAGATAATCTATAAAAACCTGAAAAATTTAGCTCTGGACAGTGTTAATTGGGCAGCTTGGCCATTTTTCTGTGCCCCTGAATTTGTCTGGCGCTTCGTGGGTGGTGGTTGTTGAACACCCATTGGGGGGTTTTTTCCCCTTTTCCACTTCTTTTTTTGGTGATCAATTTGAGGGCACTCTGGCCGACCAGGAGATAAAAGGAGGCTGAATTTCAAAACTTGATCTTGTGCAGCAGACTAACAGAATTCAGCAATCTGCATGAAGAGACATCCCTATATCATTTTAACTAGGAGTAACAGTCGAAGGCATGATTTCCATTGCAGGTCTTGCAGGCAGGCATTGAAATGGCAGCAGTTGCAACTGTGTCACTGTTCGGAAGCAGGATTATAAATTAAAACATACAAATGTGAAGGAATATGAATTAATGTGAATTAATCTCTGGCGAACCTGACAGTCTTGCTTAACCTTCTGTAGGTGAGATCTGTCCCCATATCCAGCAGTTAATGTGAATGGACCAAAGACCCTTGTTTCTGGGACATCATGTTCTTAAGTGCTGTAACAAGTGTATAAATCTCTTTTATTCTGGAAGAGAAGAGCGTGTAAGATCTAAAATGTGTGCAGGTAGAATAGCATGTTGGGGTTTTTTTCACCCTTCTAGATGATGACAATTCAGAAGAAGGCCTTCACACCATCCATTCAGGAAGGCACGAATATGCATTCAGCTTCGAGCTTCCACAGACGTAAGTGCCCGCATGCAGTCCTGAGGCCCTGCTGCCTACCCTCCTGAGCAAAACTCCTGCTGTGGGTGGAGGGGAAACCTTTACAATGGTAGTAGGAATTGTGCTCTGACGTGCAGTGGAGGACATAATCTCATTAAACTGAAGAGGTTGCTTTTAAACTGGTAATACACTTCCTTTAAGTTCTTAATTTACACAAAATGTGAGCTCATTGCTGCCCAGTTGGTCACTTTCTTTTGATGAAATCCTGCTACCTTAATAGCTCTTCCAATATTTTATTCCTTCCCAAGTGGAGGGAGAGGAAATTTGAACTGTCACTGAGAGTACTGCAGAGTGGCTGAGATGCCTTCTAGCCCAGCTAACAGTTTACTGGCACCATACAGACCAGCAGAACTAGAAATAAGATCACAGGTGAATTGTTTGAGCTCAGTCTGGAACAGATGTGGCAAGTTTTACTAGGGTTGAGCAAAAGAAGAGGTAGTTCTTCTTTAAATAGGGTATGTGTACCCAGGCTGGCCTTTATGCAGAAGGCCTGGAACAGAAATAAGCAGAAAGATGGGTGGATGAAGAAAGAAAAACGTCCTGTGCTTAATCCCATTACTCTCAAAAAGCTAAGGTAAAGCGAGAGTGAGAACAGAAGTACTAAAAGGTTGTCCCACGTGTGGCCTGCACACACACTGACATAGAGAGCCTGTAATGTGTGACGCTGACATACCTGAATTAAAGTTTTGTACTTGGGGAGCCCCCAGTATGCAAATCATCTAAAAATACAGGTAGCAATACAATTAACTACAGAAGAATAGGTGAGGTCTCAATGTGGGTGGAAAAAAGGAGCCTTCTGCTGTAAAAGGCAAGTGGTGAAATCAAAGTTGAAAAAAAATCAGCAGTGTCTTATGTGAAATAGCTTTGTACCTAATATTAAAGCAATAAACAGTCTGTTTATTAGAGGTTCTGGTTAGCAGAACCTGCAGATGAAGAAACACTTCTACAGGTCAGTTCAAAGTGAACAGCACAGGGCTTTAAAGTAAACCTTACAGGAAAAGTGAAGACCTGTATATGTGGAGAATTTTAAAGGCAATTTAGGATTCTGTAGAAATACAGCTAATGCTGATATTCCATTGAGTTGGAAGGGTCTTCAAATACAAGAAAGCAAAACATTCTTTATACGAACATGAAATGCTTAGCTTAAAGCGGATAGCTAGCAAAATACTGCCACTGTTGGTCAAAGCTCACCTTTAAGTGATCTGAAGGATTGTGAAAATAGCTGTTGATAGTAATACTTGGAAAAGACAAAGGCTGGCATTAGAAGCCTGAAGTTTGACACTGCCTGCCTACTTGTTATTTTGTGTATATAGAATACTTCCAAAATTTTCTTAAACTACAGAGCAACCATGGCAAGAAAGACAACACTTGCCCTATAGAATATGGGGCCAGGTGAAACATGGAATACAGATTAGAAAAATCTTTTATTTGGGTTATTGAGGTGGTGAGTAAAGGCTTCAGGTGTGTGATTCAAGAAGTTGCACCTTTAACTGAAAGAATCATTCTAGTAAAGTACTAGCATGGCCAGTATTATTCCCTGTGGAGAGTATGGAAGCTTTGCAGATAATCTATTTTTTGTTTATATATTCGAGTGTATTCAAAACATAGTAAAATCTACTTGCATAAAATAAGGAGAAAAGTTACAGAGAGCTACTGTTTATTAGAGGCAACTGGAATATAAAGATGTTTTGTCCTTTATGATGTTACAGGAAAAAAAAATTGTGATGCTGAAAGGCTTGGAGATCCTTTCCACATGGTTTCTGCTCCAGCTCCCAGAAAAGGACTTTCCTCTGCCAGAGTTCAAAGCAGAATAGTCTTGATGATCTCATGCGTATATATATTGTTATATATGTATATGCAAATATGCACATCCTTATATAATATAAATGTTTCAAGCTGGTCTTAGGGTAGAGGAGAATTAGAAGGTACTCAAAATAGCCTTTCTCTTCAGAACTCTAAATATTTACTCTGATTACAGTGAAGCAAACTATGAAAGTGCTGACTTGGAGACAAAATTAACCTGACACTGAGATTCAACCCAAGTAAACAGTACCCTGATTTACAAAATACAATACCGAAAACAGTAATTGGTTGATAACGAATACTGCTTTTCAGTTGGTAGTCATAATATGGCCTTAAAAGGGCAAACTCTAGATGAGAAAGCGGCCTCTTAAGTTTAAAGGAAATGTGTGCTGTCCTGGCATTTTGTAGTACAATTTTTTGATCAATCCTTAAAATCTATGCAAAACCGTAGAAGGATGAACTGGAGATGATTTTTTCTCCCATCTTTTAATCTTTGATTTTTTCCAAGATACGGAAACTTGGCAAATAAGTTATGCTGCATTAAATACTACAGTGTATTAAAAATGCAATTCTGCATACTAATCCCTGATCTGATCAATTGTATCATTATTAGACAGAAAAGACTTTACTCAGTTTTGACCTTTGTGTCCTGCACAGACCACTTGCTACCTCATTCGAAGGCAGACATGGCAGTGTGCGCTATTGGGTGAAAGCCGAATTGCATAGGCCTTGGTTTCTACCAGTAAAATTAAAGAAGGAATTTACAGTCTTTGAACATATAGATATCAACACTCCTTCATTACTGGTAAGAATTGACAGAGTTATTCTTTGTTTCTGGCATAAAAAAAGTATAATTACTGAAACAATATCCACATCTAATTTTACATAATATTTATTTGCTGCTTTAGCTACAGCTGATCTTCTAAATATTATTACATCATTTCAGCAACTCTGTCATTGCTGGTATTTTGCAAGCTATGTTTTCCTGTATTTAAGAGTTGCTTCACTTCTAAAATGTGTAATACAGCTTTGTCAAATTAAATTTATAATACTAAATTTTAAAATGTCACTAAGAATGAAAACTGATAACTGTTCCTCTTTGTTTTTGCATAAAGTATAATCTCTGGAAGGAACAGTGAAACTTAATATTACAGTGAGATTGCTAATTTAAAAATGCAAAGTAAAAAATATACTGGCGTGCATAATTCATATTTTCCATATAGATCGTTTTCTACCAATGGGGAGAAATAATCACAACTCTGTATAATCTTTTTCTGAAATGACATTTCTTTAAAATAATTTTCAGTATCACAATTGCTTTCAATGAGAATTTGATTTCAATCTGGCCTGAAATTCCTTACACACACACACACACCCCATTTCCAAATTATAATCTGTGGAGTGGAGGGAAATCTTGAGGTCCATTGAAATAGGTTTCTTGTATGTATGGGTGAAAAATCAGACTTGTAAAGGGACATTGGCCTTGCACAAATTCCATTAAAATCAAAGGACTCCCATTTGACTTTAATGGGTTTTGGATCAAGTGTAAAATAGCAAAGTCTTTAATATAATTGAAACGGGATCATTTTGAAACAGAGGAAATAGCAGGAGTTGAGGTTACAGTACTTTAGTTATTGTTTCTGAAATAGTGTAGATGTTCTATTTTACTGAAAAATTAAAAGCTCTATCAACACTACATTGGGATATATAGGCTTTAGTCTTCTCTTCAGTTACACAGTACTTTTAAGTTTAACTGTAACATGAAGTGTAGGAGAAAAGGCAGTGTTAATAAGGAACAGAGTTGGAATAAAACTTGGATCTTCATAGTGCCTTTTAAATTGCTTGAGCTTTTTTTTGCCTCTAAACCAGTAATGTTTATCAAAATCCATAAGCAGTACATTACAAAAATCGCTTATGTTGATTAGAATGGATTGAAGAGATTTGTGGAACTTGTAATTAAATAGGCAATGTTCTTTTCTTACAGTCACCCCAAGCAGGCACAAAAGAAAAGACTCTCTGTTGTTGGTTTTGTACCTCAGGCCCAATATCCTTAAGTGCCAAAATTGAAAGGAAGGGCTACACACCAGGTATGTAACAGAAGTAATTATAGGAAATGTTTTGCCTTCCCTTTAAAATGACACTTTGTACTTGCTGCTTTTATATAAGGGAAATATTTAAACTATTTTTACTGCCTTGGTCTGTATTCAGCAGTCTGTTTTCTTGATTAATTTTGTAAACTAATGCTGTCTGTGTCTGCTGAAAAATATATGCTTCTGTTAGACCTGTGCCTTTTTCTTTCTGATTAGCTTGGCCTGATCCTATTGGCATCAATAGATGCTTTTCAAACTATAGCATTGCTAGCAGTATCCAAGCGCATTCTAACAATACACAGAATATGGCCATTTTCTTATGCCTTGTAGATACAAAAAGAGCATGAAATTCTGTTTTATTTTAGGTGAATCGATTCAGATCTTTGCTGAGATTGAGAACTGCTCTTCCCGTGTGGTGGTGCCAAAGGCAGCCATTTACCAAACACAGGCATTTTATGCCAAAGGGAAAATGAAGGAAGTCAAACAGCTTGTTTCTAACCTTCGTGGGGAATCCTTGTCGTCTGGCAAAACGGAAACCTGGAATGGCAAACAATTGAAAATTCCACCTGTTTCCCCTTCAATCCTTGACTGTAGTATAATTCGTGTGGAGTACTCACTGATGGTATGTTGGATGGTCTGTTTCACTTGAGCATGAGTAGTTTCCATTGTTCCTTGTGAACTGCTAACAGAGCATTCTGTGCTAACCAGTTATTAAACAAGTACATCTGATGTTAGTGTCCTGATGACTTCTGTACATAAGCTCAGTTTAAATCCTACATGTTTGCCCAGGGAGGTTGTGAATGCTCCATCCCTGGCAGTGTTCAGGGCCGGGTTGGATGAGGCCTTGGGTGGTACAGTTTAGAGTGAGGTGTCCCTGCCCATGGCAGGGGGGTTGGAACTTTATGATCTTAAGGTCCTTTCCAACCCTAACTATTCTATGATTCTATGTTCTTAAACAGTTGTGGTATGCCAGCTAAATGAGTGTTTTATGAGTACACAGAATTTCCATGAGAGGCTCATGTTAAGAATCCTGAGCTGGTTTTCACTCTGAGAGCTTTTTGTCGTCATAGGGACATTGGACCTAGAACACACAATAAGAAATTTAAGTTCCTTGTGGAAATTTCCATGGGCAGATAACTTAGTGTAGTAATTCTGAAGTGCTTGTATGAACATACATTTTAATCACACACCTCTTCTTGGTTTTGATTTTTAGGTATATGTTGATATTCCAGGCGCCATGGATTTATTTCTTAACTTACCACTGGTCATTGGTACCATTCCTCTACATCCGTTTGGCAGCAGAACATCGAGTGTGAGCAGCCAATGTAGCATGAACATGAATTGGCTTGGTCTGACACTTCCTGAAAGACCAGAAGGTAAGGTGGCAATACAAATCCCAATCAATTTGCTAGTTTTTGATTTTTTTTTGACTGCTTTATTCATTGCTGTCATGCGGACAGACCCAGATTACATCCTTCATAATAAAGGCCACAGGAAGTCCCATGTGGATGTTTCCTTGCCATATGCTTGTCCACTGTATAAGAGTAGACTTCCCTCTATCCCTTTCTTTCTCAGGGACAAGCAGTGAAATAACAGGTCCTTTGAAGCTGGCACAAGTGGAAGTGCAGGATGCCTTTGCACATGTACAGAATTAATTATGCCTCTAGTTTCCCAATTGCATCCTTGGTTAAAAGGCATTGTAACCTGTCAGAATAGCAGCTTGTGGTGTCCTTTGCCAGCCTTAGTAAGTCAAGGATTTGTAGAAAGATAACGTAATTCGTTTCAGTGGGAAATCTCTCCTGTCAAAGGAGAAACTCTCTCCTCTGTTTTCACATAATGGATAAATGCCCTTTTTATATATGAATCACAGTTTTTTGGAGCCTTCGGGAAACGTAACGTTTTATCCTTCATACCTGTACAGAAATTGTTTTCTGAGTACACTTCAGTTTTTAAGGGGATAACTGAGGCACAATAAGCAGTGTAAGTTAGTCTGCTCTTGGATTTAAGCGTAAGTTGGATAAATTAGTCTGCTCTTGGATTTAAGTGTAATCTTAAAAGAAACCTTTGATGTTCAACAGCTGTTAAAAAGTCACTGAAGTCATTTACCTGCCTGTCTGTGCATTTTGCGATGATAGAAGTTTTAATATTTTATGTATTTTGACGTGCATAAGAACTTACTCAAACTGTTGCATTTTCCCTGCAGCACCTCCTAGCTATGCAGAAGTGGTCACGGAGGAACAGAGGCAGTCCAGCCTTGCACCCGTAGGTGTTTGTGATGACTTTGAGAGAGCGCTTCCAGGACCATTGTTTGCATATATCCAGGAGTTCCGTTTTCTTCCTCCACCCCTCTATTCAGAAGTAGGTGCCTCAGAATGTGATTCACTGTTACTTTTCTGGTTTCTATATGGTGGAATAAAGGTAGGAGGTCTCCTCCTTCCTAAAATCAAGAGAAACTACTAAAAGGATGATCAGGGGATAAGGCAGCTTTTTTTTTCTTTTTTTTGGTGTTTTTGGGGGTTGGGTTTTTTTTCAGCAATGTGCCAGGTGAATTCTATCAGCAGTTTTCAGGATCCTTCACAATGCTGAAATGTAGAAATTTCCAAATGGTTGTGTGCCCTGTTAGCAACTTCATTAAAACCCTGTGTTACACATACATTACATTGCATTGGTGAGCACATTTTGGATCTGTAGATGCACAGATGTTTTTCAATTCTACTTCTTTCTGAAACAGCTCTGGGGTGTTCTTTCTTCTGTGAATGCTGTGCTTTCAGAAGTTCCATGTAGAGAAATTGGCAACAGTGTTTTTCTGATGAGGGTTTCTGAGGATACACAGCTCAACACTTTTGGCTATGTTTTTAGTTCTGTGAAAGACACTCAATAACTGTGACATAACTTCAAATGCTTTCCACGTTGATGCATTTCAGGAAAAAGCAGAGGTGTAGGACAAAAGTAAAACAGTGTCTTTCGGCTAAATTGGGCCTGAATTCACCCGGTTTCTTTTTTTTTTTTTCTGTTTCTTTTTGTTTGTTTTGTTTCTTTTTTTCCTTCTCTTTATACGCTGCTCTGCTGTTGAGTGAGCAGAGAGTGGCATCATTTCTGTATGCTGGCGACCTCTTCGAGCACTCTCCTATGGCTGAAACCTAGCATACAACTCAAGTTGTTTCCATTTTTAGGTACTTAAAGAATTAGAAGCCTTCTTTGTCCTTAAAAAATGGTTGTATAAAATTAACTGATCAGAGCAGTCCACACAAACCAGTTTTGGAGACCTGAGTTAGCAGGTTGTTCTCCTTGTTCCATTTACAGAAAGGAAGAAGGGGAAAGCTATAGAACACATGAACTTCTGAGACATTTTATGGTGCTTAAGGATTATAATTTCAAATTAGAATGACTTTTTACTGATAACTGTCTTCTGAAGCAAAACATCTTCTGAAATCAATGGAATAATTTTAAGTTACATTTTTAGTGATGAGCGATGTCTTAGTGTACAGTAAATAATTCAAGACTTCGGTGCTACTAAAGTAGGTTTTTCAAGTATTTTATTATTTTTTTGTGCTTATCCTTAAATTACTATCATTTCCTATTTTAAAATTTTTCACTGTATTTCCATTCAAAGTTTTGTCTAATTGATGAGAGGTTTATCAGTTACTTTTGAATAACTTTTGGATTGGGAATGCCATTTATCACTGTGTTTGTCTTAACCCCACCAAAACTGACAAGTTTGTGTTTGGATTGGTTTTCTTTCTAGCAGTTAACTCTAAAAATGCCTTGTTGTTGCTCCCCCTGCTCCCCCCACTTTTTTTTAGATTGATCCAAATCCAGATCAGCCCACAAATGACAGACCATCCTGCCCCTCTCGTTGAAGGAATCCATGAAGAGCTGACTTGACTTGGGTTTTGAATCGTACCTGCTGCGTTGAAGGTCAAGGCGTCATAGTGGAGATACCCTTTCAGAGGAAGTGGGTTTGCCCTTGCCTGTATGGTGAATAAATGAAAACAACCTGTGATCATGCTTTAAAGCCTACAGTAACATTGTAGGACTGCTCCACATGCTTGAAGACCTGAGGTTTTTTTTCTTCCCCTTTTTCTCTCCCGCCCCCCCCTTCTTCTCCCCACTCCTTTTCTTAAATACTGGCACATACTAGGAGCAGCCTTACTAACTAATCTACAGTCATGTGTGTCAAAACACTCAAACCACATTGTAAGAGAGGAATGGCTTCCTCCTACGATTTGGAAATTTGCACATGCTCATTGCTTACATTGTGCGGTTCAGTGTCACTACAGCTTTTTCTCATTTATGCTGGACTGTTGTTACCCCCTCTTTTCTTTGTGGTCCGCACAATAAGGAGCAAAGGAAAGCTTTGACAAAAAAAAAAGACAAAAAAAAAAGCAACAGACTTTGACAAATGCACTGACTTTTTTTTTAATTTAATGTAGCCTGGACTTTACCTGCATATGCACATGCTCAGAATTGTCCTAGTAGGCTGATCATGTATCACCTCTTCAGCTTGGATCCTATTGTGGATTTATTTACAAACATCAAATGCCTTCAAGCCAATCCTTCTTGCTGTATGTTTTGCAGGCTACTGTAGTAGATAAGCAACAGATGTGGGGCTGGGGTGGGCGGGTGGAGAGTTAATAGGAAGAAACTAATAGACTTCATCAAGATTGTATATCTTCTTGATTACTTTTAAGAATTTGTTGCCTTTCTACTATAAACCACAAAGCAGCATTTTGTTACAGACTGCCTAAAAATCACTTAATCTCAGGTGAACTCATCACTTGCCAAACTGTTGGAATTGCTATTTGTTTTGTTAAGTTGCACTGTTACTACTTCCTTTTTCTTTCTTTTTTTGGTGTGGGTTTTGTTTTTGTTTTTGTTGTGTGTTCTGTTTTTGTTCTTTAATCAAGATGGGGATCTGGAATAGGGACATACACAAAAGTTAGAAAACCCACCCTCATTCCTATTTCTCTTTCTGAACCAAGAAAAAAGATGTTGAAGTTGTGAAGCTTTAAAAAATAATGACACAGATGAAAGCAACACCAGCAAGTACCAGCTCAGCCCCAAGAGTTTTAAAAGGAAATAGTCATACACTGTCTAGGGTTCATAGACAGCTCGGTATCTCAAGTAGTAGGGATGGGAAGGGAAAGTAAATTTATTTTTATATATAGTTATCTAATCACCAAAAATTCTGTATGTAATGAGTCTCTAGTAGAAAGTATATTTCAAACTGCAGGAAAAGCTTGGACTATGCTAAGAGCTCAGTTTGTGCACTTTGTATTATCTTCAGGGTTTATGATACTGTAAGAATAGTAAGGCTAGAAGTATAATTAAGCTGGGCAAGTTCAGTGTTAACCAGCCATACTCAGAAATGAGTTAGCTAGAATTGCTTCCCTTTCTTTTTCTGTGGTACTCTCAAGAAAAAAAGGATTTTTGCTGTATTCATTCACAATGCAAGAAATCATAGGGAAGGAGAACTTGCCCTTGAGTGTGCCCGAGGAAGAAGAGAGTGCCATGGAGGCATTAGATGTGCAACACAAATAATACCAGCACTTAAGCACTAGAGATTTACAACAAAAGTCAACTTTCCTTTTCAGAAGTTGTGTAACACAGACCGCTGACAAAGGGATGGGCTTCTGCTCTTGACTATTTAAAAAAATCAAGGTGTCATCTGTCAAAGTAGCTCTCTCCTTGCGCAATAAAACAGCTCAGAAAGGAGAGGGGAGGCTGGTGTTGCTGTGTGGTGCTCATTCTTAAAAACCTCTGCCTTGTTTTTTAAGACTTCATAAATGCAACAAAATAGGCTTTTCCATAAGTGGCCTTCATGAGAACATGAATGACAGTTCATGTTTCAAAATTGACAACAGGGTGATAAAATACAAATGAGTCGCGTTTTAAGTGATTCAGTTAAAAAGGCTTTGGGCTTTGACTAAGCGTGTTGGGCGAGAAGGAAATTGGGTAATGTCTTGCATGTTACTAGGCCAATTTTGTGAATGTCCCCTTCTTCTGTCCTCTTCAGCCAGACAGTTTAAAAGCTGATGGGATTGTTGGCATCAAAGGGCATTTGGTGGTTTTACTTTTTGGTTTTTTGTTACTTTAACAGACTAGGGAACAATTGCTGATATAGATAGCATTAAAGTACTTGCCACAGTATAATGGAAGATTGAATAGGAAGCAGGATTGACCAATATCAGAGTAATTGACATGGCATCACAGCCTTTGTGATAAGAGTGAAAGATTTTGTAAGCTTATAAAATCAAGACTTTTCAGTTCAAATTACATTTTAGTTATTCAGAGGCATTACTCTTGCACAAGTATTGGTCAGTTCTCAGTGTTACAAAACATGAGGTTCATAGTTGTAGCCCAGTATTTGATAGAGAATTCTGATCTGAGAACTAGGAAAAAATAAATAAAATCCAAACATTAGAGAAACAAAGTGCAATATTAAATGTTTGCTTTATAGATTATATTCTGTGGCTGTTTGTACTTCTTTTTTGTTATGTTTTTAGTTTTGGTGCTGAATATGTCCTTGTAGACTCTGTTCCAAGAAAACAATGTGTGGAAAACAGTTTTAATTTTTCCTGTTGCTCTTCCTTGTGGAAAATAAACTTCTTTTTTTCTTTTTTTTTTTTAAAAAAAAAAAACCTCTCATGAATGTCATAACTAAATATAAAATAACAAATGCAAGGATCACACAACACATGAACTTGCTCCAGGAACTCATACACTGCCTGTCTCAAACTACACAGGGAGAAGGTCCTTCTAAAGCTAAGCAAAACATCAGGGAAGTCCAGTTTCAGTACTCTCAGCCTGTATTACCACCTAGGGCTGGATGGCTGGGTTGGGGCTCTGTAAAGGGCATTGGGGAAGGGAAGCACCTTCACAGGTCTGGTTTGCAGCTGGGACCCTACCTGTGCGGTGGAGCAGGTGCCTGTGGCCATTCATTTGCTCAGAACAAGTGATGTGACCAGATCTTTGAAGGTACCTGATCCATGACCTGCTTGTTGGAGCTCAGGTGTTTGTGAAGCTCCCCAGCTGCAAGGTGCTGCTATGGAATGTGTCTTCTTCATGCCACATGCAGTTGAACGCTGGCCAAAATAGATTGTTGTCACCCTGGGTATCACTTGTGTCGTTTGACCTAAGAGAAGGTTCAGCAGGCAAGCAGCCAGTGGCTGAGGAGCCACGTTCTCTCAAACTGTGATCATGCTGCTGGGGACCTGTGCGTCCCCTTGGTTTGAGATCCTCAGTTCAGTGGTGTGACTATTGGTGGGGACAGCCCAAACACCTGATCTGATACCTGACATAACGCTGTAGGACCTCCCTCTCTGAAACATTTCTACTTAATTTTGAGTTTTAATGGTAGAGAATCTCGGCATCCTTTTTAGGCCTTTTCCCCCTATTGAATCATGTTTTTGCCTGAGTTCTGGTTCAAACCAATAAGAAACCAAGAGTGTCTCATTTTGCTCAAGTACTTTGAGGTCTTTTGTAGCTATATGACAATGAGAATGTATTATTTTTTTCCCAATGCCAGCACAACTCTTTACAGTAACTAAGTTTCTAAAGTAGTGTGGCAGTGCTGGAATTAACATCAGCATCTGATGCACCTAACGTACACACACTTCTAGCAGTTCTGTGCAAGTTTTCTTGAAATAAATTTCTCTACTTGGCAATTAAGCTTAGCTTGATTGCATTTGTTTATATGTATTTATATGTTTAACATTAGAGTTGGAAGTTACCAGTTTTATTGAGGTTAGATTTGCTTTATTTCTAATGTTTCTGAATATTAAAATGCCTATGCACGCATACAAGTCTGTGCTACACCAGGTTGTAAAGACAACAGCTCTTCCACATCAGGTGTCCATAAAATTGTACCGGAGAGTGGCGAGTTGCAACGCTTGAGCTTCTGAGAGATATAATGCCAAGCTGCAAAGCTGACCACCACCTTTTCTGCCAATTATCTAATACATGTACCTAGTGCTTTTTAGTCCTTTTCTAGATTTAAGCCTTTCTGTATTTTACAGAAACAAGCCACTGACTCGCCATCAGCTCCAGCCACCTTAGCTTCCCACAAGCAGGAAGCCCAGGCACAGGACTGAGTAAGTGTCTACAGAAGCAGCATGTGAACCTGGGTGTCCACTGAACAGCAGCTTCCCAGAAGGACACGTCTTTGCTCAGGTGAATGCTGCTACAACTCCTGGGACTTGAGGTACAAGGCTATGGCAACTCTACATAGAGTCAAGCACCCAACATGGGTTTTCAGTAGGGTGGTATTGCAGGAGAATGACTGTTCCTGGGGATGTTGAGTCCAGACTTCCTACATGGCATAGATTTTGAGCAGAGACCCCTTTCAGAAGTCAACAGAAACTTGGTGAGATGGCAGGAGTTGTGTTATATGGCTGTTATCTATTTCAGGTCCTAGATTCTGGGGGTTTTTTTACTAAAATCCACTTGCAAAGGCACATTGTCAGGCACATTCCACCTGCCCTCCAGACCATATCCTGGAAACCTATTTTTCCTCCACCTAGCTACAGCATGCTGTTTTTAGAACTGGAACTCCGTATCTCCTGACCTAGTGGACATGAGGACAGAGCTGTAGCTTCTGAGTAGAGGCCAGGTGCTGTTACGAAATCTGAGTTTGACAGTGTACTTTTCATCTAATCCATCTCCAGATTCAGAGTTCAGAAGGGCACTGCGTTTAGAATTTGCTTTGGCCACCATGCTGTAATAAATGTTTATCATATTTGCATGAAAGACAATGACCTAGAGCAGAGGTGAGCGTTTTAGATATAAAAATCTAGGAGATAAGATGGAGATAAGACTATGCAATTAAATAAAAAAACACAGCCGTAAATAATAACAAAGTGCAAAACCTGGCACTATGCATTAATTCTCTGCCACTCCAGCAGTACGATGACTTACAGAAGAAAACCAAATTCTCCCTCAGACAGTGCGTTCCATCTACCATAAGCAGCTCCCTGCAGGGTCTACAGCTGAAGGCACTGGAGGGAGCGACCAAAGGCACTGTGGCCCCCATCACTCCTATACATCAGCACAAGGGACTCTCCCATCTCATGTCTTGCCAGGATAAAGCGTGCCTTTGACTCATTGCCAGCTCTCCACCAATTGCTCAATGATGGGTACACTGCGACCTGTCAGCTGCTTATTTTTTTTGGGAGAAAATTACTGCAAAACATAATATTACTTATTTTTATCTGAAAATTAAGGCAGTTGCTTGGATTGAAGCAAGGCTCTACTGTCATTGGACTGCCTAGGACCAAAATGAAACTTCCCACTGGTCATAGCAAAACTCAGTGCACATCTCTCGTTGCCCATCTGCTAAGAAATAGAATGTTATAAATCCCCCTGTGGCCCTGTAAAAGATATATTAATCAGACAATGACTTATGATTAACAAATATTTTTTTTATTATTTACACTGTAGTTTGAGGGCCACCCTACGTCAGTTGATGCTTGTCAACACCAGTCCCTTTCTTCTGTAAGCAGCACATTTTTCCTTGTTAGGATTGCAAAGAGAATAGATGACTATAATATCTCCAGCTCCAATATCTAAAACTATTTCAGTATTAAATATATGGTATAAACAAAGAGAAACCTGCATCAGTGTTCTACAGCTATTTAATTGTCTCCCACAAATTAAACTAAATGGTCCTCTTACCTATCTTTTAACAGGCTAAGACAGGAACGACAGTTTTACTGCTGCTCATTATTTTTTTTAGTACATCAGACACCATTTACTGGGACAGAGCTGCACACCTCTAAAGCAATAAAGCAATTCATCAGTTGTACCACATAAAGCTATCCACCTAAACAAAACAAATGAAGAAAACTATACGTGGCCTTTGCAAAAGTAGAACAGTGTAGTTTAACTTTCAAACCACAACTCTATCCTTACTCTTCTGATTTTCCCATCTTTTTTCCCCTGGTAATTCAAAGTTGTTCAAAGGAAGTAACAGTCTTCTCTTAATCTCTTTGCCGTCTTCCTTTTCATGTATTTTATTCAGACTTTTTAATGCTTCAAAACACCCTTCTGCTTTTTGTGCTTGTGTTTGCTCTTAATATCCTCTGCCACCAATAAAGCCTCATCTAAAGCTGGATTACCTCAAAGAACATCTTTCACCTAACTTTTTGACCTGAAATGCCTTCCAAGAGTACAGTTGAAAAGTCAATATACATTTTTTCCCCCAAATCCTCTTTTTTTATTGAAAAAAAAAATGAGCAGTGATTAGATAGAAGACTTGTGTCTTCCTAGTATAAAACTTTATTTCACGCTGTGGCCTAGCCAATATGCAGTTGCAATATGGGAACTGTTTTAAGGTATTTTAGCACCATTACCCTGAGTTATGTCACAACATAAATTAACTTACCTTGAAAGAGACTTTATTGCAGGTTAAAAGCATACACAGGAGCAACTAATATTGAAGTACAATTCAGTGAACTCATACGTTTTTTACCTGTGAGATAACATATCCTACCACTATATTACAATTATCCCCCCCCCCAAAAAAAATGAATTAGGCTTTAAATGTCTTATAAACATCATTTAGATAATGGAAGTCCTGCTCTAATGAAGGCTATATTACCCTACACTCCTGCTGATCCTTTTTGCTTACTATACACTATTAGGCATTTTAAAATACATTAATTTCTCTGGCATACATTTGGTGGTGGTGGTCCATGATTTTGCATGCCTTTATACTAACAAGGCTTCTGGCACTACCAGAAGAAACAAGAAAAAAGTACAGCTTACGGTTGAAAGAGAGTACACGCAGCACTCTGATTCCATTTATTTGCTGTACTAAAGCTTACTTTCTTGGCAACTAGTTAATAAATACAGAATACTCCAGCAAGCCGTTTCTTTCTCCTTGGCTCACTGTGAGCAGATCCAAAGGGGAAGAAAAAAGTTGCTATTATTACAAGTGAAGAGCTGCTCAGGGAGGAGGAAGAAACCCAAAATTTGCACTGGCAACCAGCCACCCTACCCAGAGGATCCAAGCAGCCACTGAGAAAGAAGCCAGACATCTCAACCTGATGAACACATGGATATCTTTAGCTTAATAGTGCAATCTGCAGTTTGTAAGTGCATTGCAATAGGAAAAGTCCCTTGCTGAATGTAAGCAAGAGTCCTCCACAAACCTCTGATTGAGCAAATTCCCCTTCAACCTGCATCACCTGCATGCATCCTCACTACAAGAGAGACATTGAAGTTCTGCAGCAGGTCCAGAGAAGGGCAACGGAGCTGGTGAAGGGCCTGGAGCACAAGGGTAATAGGGAGTGGCTGAGGGAACTCGGATGTTTAGTCTGGAGAAGCTCAGGGGGGGACTTACCCCTCTCTACAGCTAACTGAAAGGAGGATGGAACCAGGACGTGGCTGGTCTCTTCTCCCAAGGAACAAGTGATAGGACAAGAGGAAAGAGTCTCAAGCTTCACCAGGGGAGATTCAGACTGGA